GTTTTTCTTAATTTTTATTTTTTTGGTGGTATGTCACAAATATCAGTTTGTTTTATGCATTGCATGCATTTTGGAAAGTGTTTCTTTCTTCTGCTAACACTTAACAGTGTTTTTTTCCATAATCAGATGACTCTAAAACAGGTGTGTGAGAGAAGCTGACCAAAAAGTTTTTTTCATCTTGGAATATTACTATTCTGGAGGTTTTATTTGATAATGTTAATGGTACTTTTTTTAGTTTCTCTTTTTTGGGTTTTTTAACTCAGGAAAAATGCACACTGCTTGGGTTCTGTGAAGTTAATAATCATGCCTTGAAACCTTCCATTACAATGTACTTTTAAGTAGGCTGCTTTCCTTACTTCATAGGCACCAGTTGTTTCTTCTTGGCTTTAGATGTGCCCAAGCTGCCAGTGGTTTACTTAGAGGAATGGAGGGGAGTGGCTGATATCAACATCTGTAATTTTTTTTTTTGAGGGAGGGAGATGAAAACTCTTTAATAGCTCATGTTGTGTTGTAAATGGTCTGTATTAAATTTGTCAAAAGAAATAAATCTGGATCATTTCTAGATATAAGCTTAGATCCATAATTTTTTTCCTTTTCAGAAAGGATTCAGTAAAATCTCATGGATAGGGTAATATTATAATGCACTAAAAACGCATCTAATTAAATGCAGATATATTTTAAAGGAACATTTTAAAATATTTTCTTGGGTTAGTCTGGGAGTTGGAATTTTTTATTTTTATAGTATGTGCAGCAAGAAGGAAATGGATTTACTCCATTGAATGTTTAAAATCCAAATCCCTTAATCTATTGATCATCGCCACCTGTTTTTTTTCCAAGTAGCTGATTGTCATCCCATGTGCTTCCAACATGAGAAATTAGCTCTGCCTTTTTTGTATGGGGGGTGGCCACCTATCACAACAAACCAGCAGAAAGACCAAACCCCACCCCCCAAACCAACAAGTAGATGGAATCGGTTTCCTGTTTCTGTAAGAAGAGTTCCAGAAATGTTACATGTTATATTAAAGAAAAAAAACAAACCCCACCTGATTTATAAGACCAGTTCTTTGATTGAATTACCATGCATTTCTGGATAATACTGGCTCTTGCTTGTTTCTTTCTAGATAACTTGTGGAGTACCTATTCAGACAAGGGATCAGTTGTTGAAAAGAGAGAACTGCCATCGCTTACTGGAACAGAAGAAACAAAAGTTGCAGGGTTACCTTATGTTTTCACAGACATCATGACTTTCTTCACCATGCTAGTAGGGATCTATTTTCCATCGGTGACAGGTCAATACAGCTGTTTTTCACAAAAGAAAATAAATGTTTCCAGATAATAAGATGCTGCTTGTGCTAATTGTATGCAGCTGTTGGCACTTGTTTCCCTAGTTTTGGCACCCTTGAAGGGATCTCAAAGTACCCCACAGTGCCACAGCACCTTGGTTGAGAATCACTGAGTTGGGGCATTTTATAGATGTGCTCCAGGAGGCTGGGGGACACTTTAATTAATACAGCTCTTAAAGCAGTGCCAATTAAAGTGCCCAGAGTTCATGTGTATCAGCATCCCTGTGCTGAAAAAGAGGAGTAGGGTGCTTTGAACTAAAGCTGATCGAATGAGTTTTAGGTTAAACACCCCGCTGCCACTTTTTTCAGCATGGGGACGCTGATGCACATGACACTGGAGTCTGCTCCAACATGCTGTATTTACAGCACGTCAGAGCAGCCCTCCCTATACGTGTATAGGAGCCCTTGGAGACTAATATGAAGGACTTCTGCTGTAGGCTGGTGGCCTCAGTTCTATGGTTTGTTTATGCAAGGAAGGAAGGAAGTTTTGACTGGATAATCATGGTGACCTTTCTGGGTTCGGTCTCCTTCGATTGTTATCTTCTTTCTCCTGAGCTTTCAGTAATAACAACTTTTTATAAAAAATATGCCATATTTAGAGTGTATATAATTACATTTTATTTAATTGTTACCCCCTGTTTCAAGACTTGCATTGATTTCCTGGAGGGCTACTGAGAAATCTTTGGGACCTAGCTGGTGTAACTTCTCACAGGCTCATATTTTAATTGATCATCAGATTAGGTGACAGGAATTTTCCCTTGCATCAGATTTACCTGGGGCCATCTTGTAGCATGGGGCATGATCCACCTCCTGGCACCACCCAGGCATGTGTTTTTATATAAAAATTCCCCAGCATCACAGAGCCTGAAGGCATCATCAGCCCTCTTGGTATCTCCTGTTCTTTCTCAGTAGCCCATTATAGTTTTTGTCCTGGGTATTTTTTTGTACTAAAAGGTCCTGAGTTTGCTATCAGGTTTGACATGGTGCTCTTGGATGTGGTTTGGAGAGGGAGTGGACCTTTTGAATGTGAACATCTAATTACAGGGTACCTACAGTTGCAGGGGACTGGACGCAGTGGGGGTGGTCCCTTCCAGCCATGTGGTACTAGTGATCTGCCATTTCCATTGATTCTTTATCAGGCACTCAACAGGTCATATATAATGTACTCTGTGAGCTGTCTATAGTTCCTCTCTTCCAGAGGTGGGATAAAATAGTTGAGTCTGAGTTTGAGGTCAGACTATCACTACATTCATGATGGCACTTGCTGTTGGCTCAAGGACCAACAGGAAGTACAGGCGCAAGGACCTACTTTGTTACAGAAGTGGTGCCTCATTTCACTAGTCTCTCTGGGGTCCCTTGGGCCTGGTCTACATTTTGCTGGAGCATTTCCTCACTCTTATGGATTGTTACCTCACCTGGACCTGGACTGTAGGCTCCTCACTGCCCTTCCCATGTCCCTGTCACAGCATCCACCCCTCCTAACTTGCTTTCTTCATGTTCCTTGCACAGTTTACCTACTAATTTTGCATCTCAACTTTGTTGACTAACCAAAAATGTAGTTCCTACAGGCACAAGGAGTAAACAGGTCACTCCAATGTTAGTTTTTAGCCTCCTCAACATTTGTCACATCTAAACTATTTCTTGGTTTTTAATAAAATCCTTATTTTGGGTTGCGGCTTCAGAATAGTTTGTTACCACCTTTTTCCTGAACCATCTGAAGTTTCTTTTTATGATTTGAGTACAAGCTCAAGTTTCTGAAGCAATGAACGGTTTAAAATTGTAGGTATAGTGTTCTGTGGGTTACAGAATTTTTTTTCCCCTTCATTCAATCAATTTTTTTTGCTATGACCACATGCACGTGTATACAGAGTTTATTAATACTTGCATAATAGAATTGCTAATAATTTTTGTGATGCTTTATAAAGCTGATTTTCTTTTTTCTTCCTTATTTTTAGGTATTATGGCTGGTTCTAACAGATCTGGTGACCTTAAGGATGCTCAGAAATCTATTCCAACTGGAACAATTTTGGCTATTTCAACGACATCCTTCATTTGTATCCTTTAACGCAATCAAATAATTTTATTTTTTTTCAAATATATATTAGAAGGCATAAGTATGCAGGACTTAAGACTTCTCATTTTTTACTGGGAAATAATTCATGATGGGTGCTGTTTTACAACAAACAGCAACAACAGCACCTAAACTGAGCAGAAATCCTAAATATGTTATATTTATTCTCACAATTCCAAGTTTAAAATAAATTTGTTATGGGTGCTAATCAAGGATACAAGAATCATGCTGGTTTAATTCTTTTTGCATATATTTTGGCCTGGTCAATGCAATTAGTAACTGTTTTGTTTTATTTTTCTGTTTGGCTTTCAAACATAATACTGGATAATAATACCAGAGGAAAAAACTGGTGCAATGAAACATTTAGAAGTGTAGATACTGCAAATGCTTATTTTACAAGTAAATATACACTGTATGTATATGTTGGTTACTTTCAGTGCTATCTTTGGGATAAGGTTAAATACAAGAGGCCATGAAAAAAACATTGGTAACTTTCTTTTTTTTTTTTCCCCCAGTAGAGCTAGAAGGGGGGAAAAAAAGTAAAGTTTATGCTTCTGACACTTTTACAGTTTAAGTATGGCTTTGTATTTTTCTATACATTGAAGTATATAGAATACAAGAGTACTCTTGTATTTCCTTCACTCTAAAAAATAGATCTGTCATGCATAGTCTTATTTGGTGCCTGTATAGAAGGCGTGATATTAAGAGATAAGTGAGTTGCATTTAATTTTTATCTCATAAAGTGTATGTTTTTTGTAAATTGACTTTTGGATGATCTGAATCAATAGTGGCTTATTTCGGTAACTATTTATAAGGTATTGTTTTCTAACTTATTGCAACTTCAGTTACAATTCTTAACTTCTTAGTGTTCTTGTAATGTTTACAAACAAGACCAAAGGGGAAGCTAAAGAACTACAAAACATGTCAATTATCAACAATACAGACCTGCCTTAATTCTGCATCCTTATGTTTCTGGATGCAGTACTTGCAAAACCATACGAACTGGAGAGGCTTTAGTTTAACTTTCTAATGATGGATTACCATTACTAGAAGGTTAGGTGAGCTAAACACAGGGGCTAACCTTTTTTTTGAATGGTTTTTATTGTTGAGAGCATATTGCACACCTGCATTATGATCACTACTGGCTGCCAGTTCTCTGCCTGAAATTCAGAGTGCTAATTATAGTTTAAGCGAATGGTGAGCCATCTTAGTCCTAGGTCTTTCAAAGACTTTTTCACATGTCTTGCCATGGCACCTGCTCTTGAAAGTAAAACTGTAGTTTGCAGTTGTAATGGTGCTGGAGCAGAGCATTCTGGTGGGCAGCATTCCACCTTCGTAACTTGTAACTTGTTGTTAGATAAATGCCACAAGCCTTCACCAGGCTGGGTTATCACAAGTTGCAAAGCATTGAAATATCATTTGACAATTTAAGAGCAAAACTTTAAGGGCCCTGTTGTGTGAGTTCAGTATTTTAAGGGCTCTAATGTGGTGGTACCACAGGCATGTACTTCTCTGCTCAAAATCTACCATGTGCAAGTGTGTCCTGAAACTCGGGTTTTGACAACTAAATTTTAGGCCAACATGGGTTTTGGAAACTGGTCCTACCTGCAAGGATGCTTTCTGTCAACTGATCCTGCCATTTGTAGGCATAGTGTCATGTTCTTTTACCTGTTTTAGTGTTCTTGTAGCCTGAAAATAACTTGTAGAGAATAGGCCAAAAAGGAATTTTTACTATTGTATTTATTTAATTCTAAATTGACCTTGAATTTTAAGATGGACACCCCCCTCCCCAAGAACTAGATTTCACACTACTGCCTGGCCAGCAGGAGCTAAAGTAATTTGGCTCACATTGGCAGGCTGGATGGGTCCCTTGCTGTGTGCTTGGCTATTCTGGCACCTGCTAGCCAGGCAACAGCTCCGAGTGACTCGACACATGCTGGCCAGAAAGCTCGCATGCTGCAGAGACTCTGCCTGGCCAATTGCGTGCAAGGAGCCTGGCCAGTTTGTGCTGAGTTACTCTGGAAGCATGGACTGGCCAGGCTCCTTGTGTGCAGCCAGGAATGACCCAGCAGGCACTGGCCAGGCATGGTCCTTACAGCATGCAGGGTTTCTGGTCAGTGCATACCAAGTCCCTCTGACATCTAGTAGCCAGGCAGCAGCTCGGAGCAACCCTGTACTGGCTGGCCGTAAACCCTACACACTGCATAGTATGCAGAGTAGTGTAGTGTGGCAGTTAACCCTGCTAACAGCCTCCTGCGCAGTGTTGTTAGAGTAATGCTCAGTAAGCATCACAAAATAACAGTGCACTGGAGCTACTACACAGTTAGTTATTACTTCATTAAGGAAGTACTAAACTAAATTCCACCATAAGAGATCTGCGCAACGTTTAAGAAGCACATGCCTTTTTAAAAATCTGCATAAAAATTCGGCCCCCCCCCCCCCCCCC